ATCCACTCTGTTCATCAGTTTGTTTTGTTAGATTCCAAATATGAGTGAGGTCATGTGATACATGTCTTTCTGTGACTTATTTCACGTAGCATGATACTGTCCAGGTCCCTCCATGCCGTCTCAAAGGGTAAGAGATCCTTCCTTTTCACAGCTGCATAGTGTTCCATGGTGCAAATGCACCACAGCTTTTCATCCACTCCTCTGCTGATGGCACTCAGCTGTTTCCAGATCCCAGCTATTGTAAGTTGTGCTGCTATGAACACAGGGGTGCACACATTCCTTCTGACTGGTGCTTCGGTTTATCAGGATATGTTCCTAGGAGTGGGGTCACTGGGTCAGATGGCAGTTCCACATTTACTTTCTGAGGACTTCTTAAATGAAAGTGATGCAGGGAGTTTGCAGCCTGGAGGTTTCCGGCACTCAGTTTCTACGAAGGGAATCATTCCGAGCCGAGTGTCAACCATTCCCTCGTTCACTCCCTCCCACTGGGGGGTCACGCCCACGAGTGACCGGAGCCCTCCCGCGGCCTTTACTCTGCGTCCGTGCCCCCCAAGCTGCTTCCAGGGCAGAGGTCCCCGCAGGGCCCGACGCTCTGGCCGCGCTCCCACGCTGAGTTTGAGCCACAGCGGGCCTCACTGTCTGCCCACGGCAGCCTCACAAGCCTGGGAAAGGCATGTTTACCCCTGAGACGGATTCACGGCTGTGGGGACCCTGCCCTGAGCAGCTGCACGTGGAAGGCCCCGTGCCCAGGGCCTGACAGGGCGCCGTTCCTGCGCACGCCGATGCCACCTGGCAGGAAGCCTCTCGTCTGAGGCTGTGCTGGCAGCGGCTCCGGTTCCAATGGCCGTCTTGGTCGGCAATCAGCACATCCTATGTTCCCGCGGCTTCTCCCAATCCCGCGTCCACAGAGGTCCCGCCCCTGGCAGATGGGCTCGGACCCAATGACCATCATGTGCCAATTGGCATGGAGCCTGAACCCCGAGGAGTGGGCCACGGCCCGGGGCTTCACGGGCGGGAGTGTCCGCGCTGCGCTGTGCACAAGGCGCTGGGCCGGGCGTTCGTTCGTTCGGACACTGACTGGGGACAGAGGCCGGGTCAGAGCTGTCACGGAAGGCTGGTTTGCCATTCCCTCCCTGCTTTCCCTCTAAGAAGTCCTTAACCCCTCTGAGCCCCTTTCCTCCCCCAGCAAGCAGGATGACGACATTTCAGTTTCACTTGGGCTCAACATTCCAACGCCAGCAGCACAGGGGAGTCTGTGCGATCAGAAGCACCTGCCGCCCCCAGGCCCACGCTTGCCGCTGGACTCGGAAGTTCCTTTGCTGATTGATTGATCGACCACTGGTGTGCAGAGGCCAGTGCGCGCTCCTGGGACCTCCTGCCTGGCCCCCCTCCCAGAGCCTCGTGGACACTGGCTCCTCGCTCCCTCTCCCTCCTTCTCCAGGTGTGAAAACTGCCTCTCCATGCCGCTCTCTTAGCAAATGGAACCACAGCTCAGAGGGACCCCTTCCCCCATGCCGTCACTCCACCGCCCCAGCCGCCCCGTCCCGCAGGCCCCCCCCCCACCCCCAGGCACGCACTCTTCATGGCGCCGAATGGACTTCCGGGGGCCTGGCGGGCGGCCCCTCCACCCGCTCCGGACACGGGCAGCAGAGACTGTCAGACAGGCGTTTCGTGATTCATTTCAATTTTTATTCATTGAAAAAAGCTGTTATTGAGACAAAAATTACCTTAAAGCTGTGTAACAACACAGTCACATCTTCAGCACAGTCAATGTTTGGAACGACCAAGGCGGCTGACACTGTAAAGGCTGTGGGGACTTCGGACACCAGCGCACAGCGTTTCGCTGTAAGAGCAGCACAGGCCTCTATTTTGCTGCAAAGACTTTGGATTTTGCCTAAAGTTCCTAATTCGTATCCAGAGTCTGGAATGGGAACGGCAGGGCTACCTGAGCTGGCCCTCCTCCATGCACAGCCCGGCCTCGGATCAGTGCCAAGCCACCGCAGCCTCTTCCCGCAGCCTTCCGAACCGCCCACCGCCCCGCACCCAGCGGCAGCCTGGCACAGTCTCCTGCGGCAGCCGAAGGCACTGCTCATGGCACAGACACGGCCCTGGGGCAGCACGCCCTCCCAGCCCCAGGGAGGCCCTGCCTCAGCCACATGACCTTGGCTCCCTCTCAAGGACCTCCCACCCCTGGCTGAAGGGAGAGAGACCTCTGTGGGGACTCAGGTGGCCCCTCGGACTGGGTCAGCCCAGCCTGGGGCGGGGGGTGGGGGGGGGCCGGGGCTCCTCCCAGAGGCGGAGAAGGGAACGAAGTGGTGCTGGTCTCCAGGACAAGGGCCTCACACACCCTCACTCGACACAGACCCTCCCCAAACCAAGTAAGGCCTAATGCAGGGGAGCACCCCAATGGGCAGAGCACGTGGTCCTGTGCCCTCATCTGCCCCCAATGCCCCTCGCCACACCGCCAAGATGGCAGCCCGGGCACCCTTCTTCCCAAGGCAGGCGTTTCCACCGGCGTACCGCGCCCTCTGGAAGCTGCGAGCCTGGGAGCAGGCTGCACTGTGGCTCCTCCCGGGACCCTGGACACCGACTCTGAGTGTCTGCACGAGCCCAGGTCTCAGGAGGCTCAGGGCACGCAACGCACAGCAGGCAGGCGGCGTCCAGAGATGTGCACTCTCTCTCTGCCTGCCGAGTGCCAGGGCATGTTAGCGGTCCCTGGCAGTTCACAGTGCACTTCTAGAAAGTTCTCAGAGGCCCTGGGAGAGTAACCCTCTTCCCTGCATGGCGAACCTTCAGGTGGCATCTCCGTCAGTCAGCCAGGGCTCCGACGGGTCCCGTGCCCACAGCTTTTGCTTCCGTCTCCCACTCACACCGCCTCTGGCTCTGCAGACGGGTGCCCCCGCCCGAAAGCTGTGCAGAGGAAGTGCACCTGCAAATGCTCATGAGAACAGGCTGAGGCACCCGGCACACGGCTGAGAGCTGGTCTGCGGGAACTCAGCTCCGGTCTCTGCATGACACAGTCCGGCCCCAAGGCGGCGCTGGTCAGCAGACGGTGCTCGGAGGCCCTGGGACCACCAAGCCGCAGAGCCTCTCGCAGCAGCTGGCTGACCTTGCCGCTGCTCAGGGGGTTAAAGGGGCTGGGGGGCTGGGGCTTGGAGTTCTGAACAACTTCAAGACTAAGTTACGGAAAAGAAAGAAACACCAATCTTTAAAAAATAACCAAGGAAAGAGACGGCAGAGAAATCAGGCGGGAGGCGGCTCCTCCTTACCACCGCGTGTCAGAATAGGCGAGCCTCATTGGGGAAGAGCATAGACTGTTTGGCAGCAGGCGAAAATCGAGGGCACCTTTCTCTCAGAGGCGCCGGCAGCGAGCACTGAAGGACCCACATAGGGCGGGGCTGACGGAAGCCAAAGCTGCAGGATCCACCCTGAAACCCCATCCCATCTGTAACTGTGAAATGAGACAACAAAATAGATCACAAACAAAAGAAATGGAGGACAAAAAGCGTCTGGATATAGAGTTCAAATCTACGCTTATAAGGTTTTTCAAAAATTTCCTAGAAAAGATGGATAAGACCTATGAGGATATGAAAAGAGATCAACTAGAATTAATAAGGAGTCATCAAGAAATGATAAGGGATCAATAAGAAATAAAGAACACATTGTCTGAAATAAAAAATATTTTACAGAGTCCTAAAAACAGAAGGGAAGATCGCAAGAATCAAGCCAAAGATTTGGAACATAAAGAGCCAGAAGACACTCCTCCACAGAAGCTAGAAGGCAAGAGAATCCAGAAAATTGAAGATAATGTAAGAAACCTCTGGAATAGCTTCAAGCGAACCAACATCAGAATTATGGGGGTCCCAGAAGATGAGAGAGAGCAAGATATCGAAAACATACTGAAAGAAATAGTGACAGAAAACTTCCCCCATCTGGTGAAAGAATTAGACTTACAAGTCCAGGAAGTGCACAGAACTCCAAACAAAAGGAATCCAAAGAGGACCACACCAAGACACATCATACTTAAAATTCCAAGAGCAAAAGACAAAGAGAGAATATTAAAAGAAGCAAGAGCAAAGAAGGAGCACCTATACGATTGTCAGCTGACTTCTCAACAGAAACCATGCAGGGCAGACGGGAATGGCAAGAAATATTCAAGGTGATGAATAGTAAGAACCTACAGCCAAAGATAATCTATCCAGCAAAGCTATCACTCAGAATCGAAGGTCAGATAAAGAGCTTAACTAATAAAAAAAAGCTAAAGAAGTTCATCACCACCAAACCAGAATTATATGAATTGCTGAAGGGGGTTCTTTCAGAAGAGAAGGTAAACAAAGATAAAAATTATGAACAACAAATACGTAACTATCAACAAGTGAATCTAAAAACCAAGGAAATTAAAAAAAAAATCTGATGAACAATAGTAACTGTTGAATATGATAGAATCAGAGGTATGGAAGGGGAGTGAACTGATGATTCTTGGGGAAAAGGGGAGAGGGGGATGTGGGAAGAGACTGAACATAAACTGTGCACCTATGGATGAGGACAATGGGGAGTGAGGAAAGGGCAGAGGGTGGGGTGGGAACCTGGTGGAGGAGAGCAATGGTGTGGGGGGAAAAAAGGAACATTTGTAATAATATGAACAATAAAAACTTATTAAAAAAAAAAAAAAAAACCAGACGAGCATTTCCCACAGGCCAGGAGCATCTACAATTGGAACTTCCTCCTCCAGGACAGACAGACATACACCCCCCCCCCCCCCCCCCGGACGGGCGGAGCTGCCACTGTGGGAACAGTTCGTTACGTAATGACTGTAGTTTCCCAGAGGAACCCTGTGCACCTCCTTGTGGCCCACCCTGTGTTGTTAAACTACCATTGCACTTGCTTTGTTTCCCAAACAATTCCTACTGGGAGGAATCTATGTCAAAACCCAGGGACGGCTGTTCTGGTTAAAAGAAACAGTGGGAAGGTGGTGGCTGAACTGAGAGAGGTTGACGGAGCTGGGGCACAAGGGCCCCTGGGCGGCGCCTCCTGCCCGGGGAGGGGCGGTCTGTGTGGGCTCCCGCAGGGTCCCCACAACGCCCAGCTGGGGTGGCCCGTCCACATGGTCCACACACCTACCGAGCCGCCACGATCTGATACGGCGGCTGCTGGAGGAAGAACACCGGGCGTTTCCCAGGGCAGCAAACGGCCTCTAACCACGGGCCTCCCCATCTCTGCTCCCCTTCAAACCGGCAGGGAAGGTGGAGAAGGGAGAGGAGAAGGCACTGGCCCAGTTCCAATGACACACAGACAGGATAAGCCCTGGAGGACAGTGCGCGGCCGTCCGATACACACACATCCACGTCAGACCTTCAGCGGTTCGTGAAAACCAACACGAGGACGCGCACAGAGCCGCGTCTCCCACACGGAGCGGCTCCTTCAGCGACGGCCCGCCGTGTGTCCCACGCAGTGTCCTCGCGGGTGGCGCACGGCGCTGCGGCTGGTGGCGGGAGGGGCGGGGCCTCGGCGCCTGCGGTGTCAGGTGGTCCTCACGCCTCGCCTCACAGAGTCCCAGCAAACTCACAGAAAGACGTGACAGAATCTTCCCCACCAACACGTTCACACGCTAAACAAAATGCAAACTTCCTTTCCGGGAGGAGGGACTCCACCCGCCACTTTCCTGACACGTTTATTAAATGCATTATGTGTCTTAGAAAAATAAACGAATGGCATGTTTACCGCACAAGATCATCTCACAGACGTACAGCAGGCCAGCAGCAGAGCCTGCGAGCCGACGCTAACACAGATAGAGCCGTCGTGGCTAGCGCCAACCCGGCGTGACGTTCACAGCTGGTCACCACAAAGTTCACTCATTCATTCCTCTCTTCTTCAGTTTGTTTGGTTTTGGCCCATAGAAAAATAACATAGTGCAACTCAAAGTGCATCTTTTAAAATAAACCATCAACTCTCTTTATCAGATAAAATATTTACACCGTTTGTTTTCTCGGAGGAAGGCTTGCTCAGGCTATCACCATGGGGACGTCGTCGGAAAATCCAGTTATCATCGGAGTGTCTTCGTCATCCTCCCCTAAAGCAGAACAGCCAGTGGTGAGTCCCAGCGCACTGCGTCCGCCCCGCCCCCGCCACCATGCCCTCCGTCCCCTCGTGCCCTGCCCCCCCCCCACTATCACAAGCCCCAGCCCTGGCACAGTCATCGAGGCTGAAGCCCAGCCCAGCCTGCCCTGAGGAGTCACCTCCCCGTCAGCAGATGGCCAAGCTCCTCCTCAGAACAGCCTGAGCCGGAGGGTGAGTGAGGTGATCTCTTGGGAAGGAGCGTCTTACTCGCACACACAGGCCCCGTAAGTGACCCACACCGTCCGTCCGCACGGGGAGCTGACTGCGGGCTCTCCTCACACCTCGGCTTCAGGGAAGGCGAGGCTGAGTGCTTGGAGGCCAGCTGCCCAGCCGAACGCCTTCCAGACCCAGGTGTGACCCTGGGGGCTGCCCAGAGCATCCTCTGCCCCTGCCCCTGCACCTGCCGGCAGCACCGCAGAGGCTGGCTCCTCCTGCCGCACGGTGCCCACGGCCGCACGGCAGGAAAGGCACCGGGCAGCGGCCGGCAGAGGAAGAGCAATGATCGGGGATGGGAGCACACGGTATCTTTACAGACAAACCAGAACTCGTGCACAGAAAACGAGACTGTGCACACTCAGCTTTTGCAACCCAAGTCTGGAGAGGCCCAAGCTGGGGGGAGGTCCCCGAGCCCCCACTTCACTGCAGCCAGTGGCCCGCCAGCCCGCTTAGCATTTGGGGCGGTGAGCGTGCAGCCGTTTGTAGATGGGCTGTTCCTCGTTCCCCTGCACAGGCTGTCCATACATAGAGGACTGGCCAGCGAGGCTCCACTAACCATCAGAAAGGAAATAGCAAGACAGAAGCATGACCTCTTTCTTCTTTCAACCCTCACCCGAGGGTATTTCCCACTGAGTTTTAGGGGGAGTGGAACGGAGAGGTCAAGACAGAGAGAAACTTCCATGTGAGAGAAACACATGGATTGGTTGCCTCCGGCATGTGCTATGACCAGGGCCCAGGCCGGGGAGAAGCCTGGAATGGGGGCCCGTGCCCCTGACCGGAATCGAACCCGGGACTCTTCAGTCCGGAGGCCGATGCTCTATCCGCTGAGCCACGCTGGCTGGGGTGAAAGCATGCCTCTATCTTGACTGGGCGTGAGTGAACTCCAACCTCTGTCTCAGGATGAGGGGCTGGACTGAGCCTGGCAGTCCGCTGCTTCCGCCAAGGCAGCCGCGCCCCAGCGAGCGCCAGCATGGGGCCTGGCACTTCCCCAGGGGCCACGCTCTCCCGCTCCTCGTTTAGCCCGGGCAGCGGGCGTCTCTAGTCGGAGGGGGCTCAGGCGGGTGCTTCCTAATGAGGGCCTGCCCTGCCGGGAGGAAGGGCCACCTACCCAGGTCGTCGCCCGAGGAGAAGACGGCGGAGCCCAGCCGCGAGCTGTAGTGGCTGTTGGCGAAGGCGGTGAAGCTGCCCTGCAGCCGCCGGTGCTTGGCATACAGGACGGCGAAGCCAACCCCCAGGCTCAGCAGGACCAGGAACAGGATGGGCACCACCACGGCCGCCATGTCGGGGGTCCTGGCAGCCTGCAGTGCTGACGCGTCCCCACCTGCAAGGCAGTCGTCAGCCTCCGGGTGAGGGCAGGAGCCAGAGCAGCTGCCCTCAGCGCCCCCGAGCAGAACACGGGCCTGCCCCGCCGCTCAGAGTGCCTGCGCGGCCCCGGCTCCGTGCCCAGGTGGACGGCCCACGGCCCTGTGATGCACACCCGGTCCTTACAGTCTCCTAACCACTCCTGTGGGTCACTGGGCCGTCTCTCTGAAGGGAGACCTTTGCTGGGCACCCACGGGTTTCCTCAGCGATCGCTCACCTGGGGCACCCGCAGGAGGTCAGGGTAGAACAGACGTGCTTAGTACCAGGGAGCGGGACTGCGGCTCCTCCCCGGCCTGCACCAGATCCCTCTCTGCACTGCCCGGAGCCCTGGGAGCCAGACCGAGGGCACTGCCCCCTCGCAGCACAGCCGCGTCAGCCCATGGAGCGGATGGGGTTTCCTTAAGCCAAGAGGTGAGGTTTCTGTCCACGTCACGGTTAAAGCTCTCTGCAAAGCCGCACAGGTGTGTGCCAGACCTCGTGCCCTCCCATCGCCTTAGACACAAGGCGGTGGCGCGCCGGTGTCACGGGTCTGGGGCGGGATCGCCGCCGCTGTGCCCTGAGGGCGTTCACCACCTGCACCCCTGGCCAGGCCATCGGGGTGCTGACCCTGCTCCCCTAGACTGCCCCCAAAAACGGCAACCGCCAACACAACCGCCAGCACACAGGGCGTCTGAGCTGGCGGGATGGGGGACCGGGAGCCTGCTTGGCTGGGGCTGCCCCTGGAGAAGGGGAGGCGTTGGCCTCAGGCAGAACCGGCAGCTGCCCGGGGACTCCCCACAGGGTCAGAGACAGGCTGGGCAGGGTCTGCAGTCAAATCGAACAATTTAGGATTTGTGCCTTTAATTTCTGTCACTGTTGACTTAGCAAACAACAAAAAAAGGAACGTATATCATAAGTGGCAACCTAACTCCATCACGGCTGGGGCAGTCCAGGGGGCAGCAGGTGGAAGGGGCAGGATAAGGGGGCTCCTGCCTCCCACATGGCCAAGGCCAGAGAGCAGAGGGCAGGGTGCAGACTGAGGGCCAGCGGCAGGGTCCTCACAACGGTGTCCCACGTCTGCTTCCAGGGTGCTGACTGGTCTCCCTTAACCGGGAGGGAATGCCAGGCTCACAGCGCTGTCACCTACCCCCTGCCCCCCAGACAGAGCCTCCTCGTAAAGCACCCTGGGCGGCTGACACGCCGCTCCGCCTGCCTGCTCAGGGCGCGTGGAGGAGTCAGTGCCGGGTAAGCGGGCAGCTCGCTGGTTTTCTTTGGAGCGGAGAGGACTAGTGTTCTAGGAAAGCACCCTCATCGTCAGGCCCCGTGCTGAGTGCGTTCCGGCACCACGGCGGGAAGGAAGCAGACTGACCTGGCCCCACGTCGTCGAAGAGCAGCACGGCCGGCTCCCCACACAGCTGGCTGCCCAGGAGGCAGCTGGCCCGCACGGAGAACGTGTAATTGTGGCCCAGCTTCAGGTGGGAGACTTTGAAGAAGGTGTCGGTCGTGTTCCCGAGGTACGCCGTGGTGTTCAGGGAGTTATCAGACGCGTGGATCTCATAGCCCTGGGGACCGAGACGGGTCAGGAGGCTGCGGAAGACTGCGCCACGCGCTTCCCCTGCCCGCCCGCCCCCGCCCCCGCTCACAGAGCGCCCGGGTTTCCGGGGATCCTGGATCCAGAGAACAGGCACTTCCCATCCCAAGCGTCACCAGTACCCTCAGTGAGGCCTGACCACAGCCACAGCACAAGCACCCCGGCCACACCAAGGCTCTGGCAGAGCCTCCCCTCTCCCTCTCAGGCAATGTTAGTGCCACTGAGAACCTGGACAATTCAGTGCGAGCGGCTGGAAAGGGATCTGCTAATCCTATGTAACAAAAGCCTAATATGCTAAGTGACCAATAGCCCATCAACCAATTAAAGCGTAATATGCTAATGATATGCTAAGGCCACTCAACTGCTTGCTATGACATGCACTAACCACCAGGGGGCAGATGCTCCAACTGGTAGGCTACCTTGCTGCTGGGGTCCAGCTGATGGATGGGGACTGAGCCAGACAGTCCTGACTGAGACGGGATGGACATGCCCTGGAGCCTCCCGCAGCCCCTCCCAGCCGTATCGGGCTGGCCTTGGTATAGAGAGGGCTTCTGCAGGCTGTGCGACGGGTGAAATAAGCAAGCTTTGACTGACATGGGCTGACTTCTGTGCTGGAAACATCCCTACTGGGACAGCCCTGGCCCACATGCCTGGGCCCCAAAACAGACCCACACATGGCCCACTGCATCCTCAGTCTCCTGGTCCGGGACCGGTCTGCTCCGGGACTATATCAGGGGAGGGAGGATGTGCATGGTTCGGGCCAGAGCCATCGGGCTGGGCGGCTGAGCTGCAGCCCCAACCGAGAAGCTGGGCTCCTGCCACCGCCAACCAAGCCCCTAACGCCCATCTCCTGCATGCCCTGGGCTCTCACATTCCAATGTGGATCTGGGTACGGCACG